CAACCCGCAGTCTACCGCGGGACATGGCCCTGCCGGGCCCGGCCGCGGAGGGACACGCCCAGGGGGCGGGGTTCCAGCGGCGGGCGGCCTGTTGGTGGATGGCCACGCCGATATTGGGCCAGGCCGCGAGGGGACCAGCCCTTGGGGCGAGGTTCCAGCGGCGAAGGTAAGTTCGTCCGTGAGACAGGGCCCAGCTGGGCCCGGCCGCGAGGGGACCAGCCTCAGGGGCGCAGTCACGGCGGCAAACCTGCTCTTCGTCGAGGGCCACGGGGATGTGGTCGTGTTCACACGCGCGCTCAGTTCCCGGGGCACGCACGAGGTCGCGAGCGTGCCCGCGCTCGACGGCGCGCTGATCGGCGACGTGTTTGTGTTCAAGGGCGTGCGCAGCTGCAAGGGCGCTCGGGTGCTCGACGACATGCCGGTGCTCACGGGCATTGCAGTGTTCAACGACGCAGTGGCGCAGTACTTGCGGCCGCTGGGCGAGCTCGAGCGAGGGAGCAGTGGCTACATTGCTCGCATCACTTGCTCGCTCATACCGGGTGCGTTGCTTGCCTTTTACGGATCCCGCGACAGTCGACCCGGGGGCCCGCTGAGGGCCGCGGGGCGGACGGCGAGGCCGTTTGCGCCAGCTGCCTGGCGACGCCGCCTGGTGTCGGGAGGGCCTGGTCGAGGTGCAGCTGGCAGCCGAGGGCCTACTCGACGAGGATGCCGAAGGGCGCGGCGACGGGGACGAGCGGATCGACCTACGTTGACATGTTCGCCGGCAGCATGGGGCATCGAGGGCCGCGCGCTGACCGCCACAGGGGAACCGCCCGACGACGGGGATTAGAAGGAGGAGGACCGGGGGGAGCGACGGGCTGCTCGGGCCACGTGGCGCCCTCTGGGCTGCAGCCAGCTTGCACCTCCAGCTCGCGCGTGTGCTTTCGCACGCGCGCGCTCGCTCTCTGCGTGTTCTATGTCGCGTCCGGCGCGACGCGCGCGGCTAGCGCCTTTCGCGGGCGCGATCCCGCGCCGGCGGGCCGGCGGCGCGCGGCCCTGGGGAGCGTTTAGCCCCCCACGCCTGGGCGAGGCCGTAGGGGCCAGCTCGGGCGCGCGTTGCACGCCGCCGGCGGGGCGCTGCCCAGCCGGGGCGGCCTGGCGCCCGCTCCAGGAAGGCCTCAGGCTTGCAGGCCAGTGGTCGCGCGCCCGGGCGTCCTTCGCCCGCGCGCGGCTGCGTTCTTTTGGTTTTGGCCGTGCGGCAGCGGGGCGTGCCAGAACGCGCGCGCGCGCCACTGGGCGCGCGCGCGGGCGGCGCGGCGTCCCGCCGGACCCGCGCCTTCAGGGTGGTGCGCGTGGCCGTTTTGCCATTGAAAGATATCATCTTTGTCCTTCCCCCGTCCTCGTTTTCCTTCCTCCTCCTCTTCCTCCCTCTCCGTTTAGTGCACGCGTGGCTTCGCTTAACTTGTATAGTCTGTGATGTTGGTAGACTGCAGGTTAAGCGTAGGGAAGCGGGGGCTTTGCCATAGCCATTTTGGGTCCGCAGTCGTTGGCTCGAGTTCGAGCCAGGACTCGGGTGCCCACCCACCCCGCTTCGCTCCCTGTGCACCCTGCTCCGCTCGGCACCAGATCCGTGCGGCAGCAGGGCGTGCCAGAACGCGCGCGCGCGCCACTGGGCGCGCGCGCGGGCGGCGCGGCGTCCCGCCGGACCCGCGCCTTCAGGGTGGTGCGCGTGGCCGTGTTGCCATTGAAAGATATCATCTTTGTCCTTCCCCCGTCCTCGTCTTCCTTCCTCCTCCTCTTCCTCCCTCTCCGTTTAGTGCACGCGTGGCTTCGCTTAACCCTAAGTCTGCTTGCGTGGAGGTCCGAGGAGGATACCCTACCTCGTGCCGCGGCCCTCTCCGAAACACCACGGCCAGTTTTGCCCCGAACTTCCGGTCCGAGGGGACCATAGGAGAGGTCCGCGCAGCAGCGGTGTTTTTTTTTGTTCGTTTCCTTGGGGGGGGCTGCCCTCGCGCGGCCGCCCCTTCGTCTTCGCCTCTCTCTTCTCTTGCACGCCGGAGAATTTGCCGATCGGTTGCCCCGACTGGCCCCACGTTGGTGCGGATTGCCTCCTCGCCGCCGACGGAAACAGTTTCCCTGGGGGGGAGGATGCTCCCTGGCGTACCCTTAAGGGAAAGTTGGAGACCACCCAGACCGAAGGTTGGTCGCATGCTCTTCCAGGCCAGCACTGGGTGAGAAGGAGGCGGTGGGGGGGAGCGGGAGACAGCATGCTTGTGGACGCCGATCAATCGAGAGGAAGCATGTCGCCAAATAATTTCCAGATGTCCAAGTTAAACGCATGTCTTAAACATGTTCGAAACAAAAAACATGTGTTCAAACATTTTAAGAACATGTTTCAAACATTTTAGACGCATTTTGCGTGGGAAGAGGCCCAGGGGTCGAGAGATGTCCAGAGGGCCCACGTCCAGGAAGCAATCGCGGCGCAGGTTCGGTGATGCTCAGGACGCGTGTTAGCCTATTTCGTCGGCGAGCGAGGTGGTGAAGTGAGAAGGAGAAGGCCTTCTCAGAAGGTTCGGACGTCCCCTGGCCTTCTGAGAAGTTTTCGGAGCCTTCCCTCAAGACCAAAACAACTTCCCAGAAGGCGCGAGGGCTTCTGAGAAGTCCCGCCGCCTTTGAGAAGGCCGTCTCCTTGTGTGTGTGTGTGTTTGTGTGTGCTTTACACCGTTTCAGCTCCGCCCGTGCCACGCAGCCTCCGTCCGCCCTCGCTTGCGCCGCCCCGAGTCGGACGGAAGGGCTCCGGCGGACAGGGCTCACGCTGCACGGACGATGTTTTTGAAGCATGATTTGATTATTTTGGCTTATGTTTTTAGTATTTTAATTTTTGTCGCCCGGAATCCGCCTGTAGGTGGACATGCCCGACCTAACCCTTGTCGCTGGACCCCCTTTTGGGTCAACCCGAATGTCGGCGAAGACGACCCCGTTTTCATGCGTCGCGCATGTAGTAATAGGCCAGTGAGGGAGTGGCGGGGTAGAGAAGGAGAAAGGATGAGGGGGAGGAGGAGGAGGAGGAGAAAGGAGAAAGGAGGAAGGAGGAAGGAGGAGGAGGAGGAGGAGTGCCACGTTCCACCGTGCTAGGACATGGGAATGCCTCTACACTTCTGGGTGGTGGTTGGGGCTGATTGGGGAGAGGTGTGGGACTTCTGGGTTTGGGGAGAGGAACTGGCCTGTGGCCCCGCGCTCCTACCTGCCCACCTACCTCCGCTTCTTACTTCTCTTTCCTCCCCTTATCCGCAAGGTTTTCGCTCCATGCCGCCGACCCCCTGTCTCGGAGAATGGGGGATGCAGAAGCTAAATCGTGAGGTCTGGGCGCCGCCGTGAAGCAGTGTCGGGACCTGTTTGTTTTTCGACCCTGACCCTACGGATCTGCGTCACGGGTGCCACCGAATTTCAGAAATGTGCCAAATCCCATGTGTTTTTGGACCCTGACCTTGCCGATTTGCGTGAGGGGTGTCAGCGAGTTTCAGAAATGTGGCAAATCCCTTGTGTTTTTGGACCCTGACCCCGCCGATCTGCGTGAGGGGTGCCAGCGAATTTCAGAAATGCGGCAGGCTTCTTTGCATTCGTGCCAGGTTGAAAACCTGCGACCCACCCGCGACCCAAACCGCGTTCAGTGTACATATCAAACTGTTCGGCGCCTGCGGCGGGCTGTTTTTGAATTCCTTCAAGGTGGAGGTGGAGAGCCCGCGACTCACCCGCGACCCAAAGTACGTTCACTGAACAGGTCAAAATTTCGGCGCCTGCGGCGGGTTTCTTTTGGAGAACCTGCGACCCAAACCGCGCTTAACGTACAAATCCAAATTTTCGGCGCCTGCGGCGGGCTGTTTTTGAATAAATTCCAGGTGGAGGTGGAGAGCCCGCGACCCACCCGCGACCCAAACTACGTTCACTGACACCAGCCAAACAATTCGGCGCCTGCAGCGGGCTGTTTTTGTATTCATTTCGGGTGAACTTGTCAGAGCACGACGACGACGACGATGAGGACGCGGACGAGGAAGACGAGGAGGAGGAGGAGGAGCAGGAGGAGGAGGAGGAGGGCGCCATCGACAGAGAACTTGAGGGCCACGAGGTTCGCCAGCTCGACGCCCGCGTCGCCCGCGCCCGCCCCTCACTCTTATCCGCAATTGCGGGGTGCTACGTATTTCGGTCACCTAGGCAGCCAGAATATTACCACCATCGCCGAGATCGGGATCTTCTTCCCTCGGTGGAGGCACACCGCCGACATTGGTGTTGGTGTCAACCTCTAGGCCTGCGACAGGGTCACTCTTGCTTTTAGCCGAGGGAGGTGGGGAAGCAGGAGGAGGATGAGGACGAGGAGGGCCCAGGTCGAGGACACGAGACATGCAGTACGCGTGGATGAGAGCGGCGGGTCTCGCTTCCGCACCGGATCGGCGCGGTCCGTCGCCAGATCACGCGCCAGATCCACAGAGGATCCCTGATCCATGTTAGCGCGTGTCCGATCATGGCCTTGGTCCCCGCTCCATAATAGTGATTCGTTATCCCTTCTCGTGCTTCGTGTGAGTGCTGGGTCCACAGGTCGGCGTAACAAAACACGACAAGTTGTCTTGCCCGCAAGTGCCCCACGGAAGTCTTTCCTTGCAGGGGGCCCAAGGCAGCCTTTGGGGCGCCTCAGGGGCCTCGAAGATCGACGAAAGAGTGTGCCCCGAGATTTTTGTTAGTCGAAGGAGAAAACACATGGACATAACCTGTTGGCGCTCCGCGCGGGTTTCCTGGATCCGCGCCTGGGACCCCCCGGCAGCGCCTCCGGCGCCGCCCCTGGCGCGTTTCGGGCGCCAGGGAGGGGGGGGTCCAGCACGGATCCAAGGAATCCGCGCGGAGCGCCAAAAGTTTATGATGTTGTGGCGTGTTGTCTTCTTCTAGTGACAGCAAGATGCCTTCCTGTTGCGTGTGCCTACCGCATGGCCGCAGCGTGCGCCGACGAAAGGCCCCGCCCCCCCTGTCAGGCGTCGCCCGCGCGCGCCGCGTCGGCGCCCAGCTGCAGCGGTGCACCAGCTACTTCGAGGGCCACAGGGCCCGCGGGTTCTCTCCGCCACCTCCGCCACCTCCGCCTCCTCCTCCATTCATCCTCCTCTTTCTCCTCCATTCCTCCTCCATTCCTCCTCCTCCGCCTCCTCCTCCTCCTCCTGCATTCCTCCTCCTCCATTACTCTTCATGCATTCCTCCTCCTCCTCCTCCTCCATTCCTCCTCCTCCTCTCCTCCTCCTCCTCTTTCTCCTCCTCCTCCTCCGTGCCTCCTCCGTGCTTCCTCTGTGCCTCCTCCATGCCTCCCCCCTCCTCCAGCCGCCGCCGCGGGATCTCTCCGCCGGCCGCCGCAGCGGGCGCCGCCGCCCCGCCAGGCGACGAGCGACGATCGAGCAGCGATCGATGAGCGGGCCTCGATCGACCCAGGCCTCCGACGTGTGGGGGCAAGAGCAATGCGAAGGTCCTTCTCCGTGGTCGTCCTCTCGGGGTCCCTCGCGGGTGCCCGGGGACCTTCAACAGACGGCTCGGGATGAACATCAGGAGGGAACAACAACACACAGATACTAGTGATCGTCGACTCCCAGGAAAATATGGGACAAGATGGGAAGCGGGGGGGAAAGACGAACACCCAGAACGTGTGGAAAAAGATGGGGGATCCTGGGATTCGTGTGTATTGATTTGTGTGTCCTTGTGCCCCTTGAGAACAACCGAGCCCGGGGGAAGGGTCGGGATTTTGGGGGACCGCGCATTGAGAACAAAAAACAATACGTCGGACCTGATGGGGGCATCGATCGGGGGATGAGCTTAGACTTCGATCGCGGATCGATCGGGTTCGGCCTCGGGGGCCAGCGCCGGGCCCCGGAACCTTCAACAATCGACTCGGGACGAACAACCGGCCCCGGGGAAAGGGTCGGGATTTCGAGGGACCGCGCATTGAGAACAAAAAACAATACGTCGGATCTCGTGAGGCGTCGATCGAAGGACGAGCTTAGGCTTCGATCGCGGATCGAGGATCGATCGGGCTTTTAGATCGGCGATCTGGCGATCGGCGATTGTCGGCGGCGAGCGAGAAGGGGAAGAGAGAAGGAGGAGGCCTTCTCAGAAGGCGGGGCTTCTCAGAAGCCCTCGCGCCTTTTGCGAGGTTTTCGTCTGTGTCTTCGGGGAAGGCTTAGAACACTTCTCAGAAGGCCTGAGGACATCCGAACCATCTGAGAGGGCCCGTCCCGTCTCACTTCCACCCCGAACTTTTCTATGCCACCAGAGGCTTATGGGGGCCTCGTCGCCGCATGCCTCCAGACATCAACTGAGGCTTGCCAAGATGTCGTGCCAGTTTCCAGACGGCGTCGGTCGTCGTGATCGCCGTCGTCGCCGCCATCGTCGCCGTCCTGCGCCAGCCGCCGCTGCCGGTGCCGCCGCGGCGCTGGCGCTGCGGGATCTCCGATGCCAGTGTCGGCGTTCTCGGGGGTCAGCCAGGGCGCTACATCCTGCTGGAAATTGCGAAGCTCGCCTTGAAGGAAACGGGTCATGAGGGAAATGGTTCCTACGCAAGGTTTTTCCTAGATTCCGGTCCTTCGGGGCCCTCTTCGGGCCCCGGTCCTCCCACAAAGCGACTCAGGATAAAGAGCTGGCCTTGCGACGAGGTCACATGGTGCAGGACCCATTTCCGTCAGGCCACGCCTCCGCAGCCCCTCACGCAGGTCGTGTCACAGAGAGGAGCTTCTCTCGGGATCTCGGTGGACGCGGGCGCAGGCGGGCCCAGCGCCCAGTTCGATGCACCCCTCTCGCAGGTCGTGGCGCCATTGTTCGATGGTCGTCTTGATGTGTTTTTTTGGTCGGGGGCGGCCAAGAGGAGGGTGATGGCTAGGGGGGTGCATACCATGGCGTGGGCCATGATTTCTCCCCAGATTTTAATACGTCCCTGCCCCCCCCCCCCCGGTTGCGCACATGCCGCCGGCCATGATTTGCGCCCACCCCTCTTGGACGCCCCCCTCTTGGCCGCCCCCGATCCTCCCTGACGGGGCTGTTCGTCTTGTCCGACTCGAGTTCGGCTCAAGTTCGACGCAGGTTGGCCCCGAGTCGACGGGCATTCGGCGCAGCATCGGCGCAGAGGAGGAGCGAGTTGCCCCTGGAGGGTCCCCACAACGAGCACCTGATCATACAGTGGGGGCCCATGCCAAGAAACACCCTGCTTGCCTCCAGGGTGCCCTGTGTTTCTTGGGATTCGATGGCTTTGCATTGGAAAGCGTGCCGTCCCCAAACCAACAATCGATGGACGCCCTGGGGTCTCAGGGTTGGGTTTCTTGTGGAAGGTTTCTTGTGGACCGGCCTCCACTGTAACAGATCGGGAACCCAAAAGGTACCGATACCGCCATCCCAGACCTCTCCCTGGGTGCGTGCTGACCAGAAGTTCGAGGCGAATCCAGCCGTGACGACGAGGCCCTCTCGGGAGGCCTGAAAAGGAACAAGACGGGGCCAGGGTAGCGGTATCGGCACCTTATCTTCTCCTGATTAGTTGAGTCGGAGATCGACCACCGAGTCGATTTACCCCAAAGTTGTATTCGGTTCGCCAGATCTGCGAAACAAGTACGTATAATCTTCCTCGATCTACAGACATTATACGTTCTTGCTCGTAGACTCGACCAACAAGAACAAGTTCGGGGTACATCGATTATGTAGTCGATGTTTTAGTCGAATGGTAACGGTATCGGCACCCTTTTCTGCGTACTAACCATGAGCGCTTTTCCAAGGTTGCATTTGCAGTCTTCCCATGCGGCACATCTTTGGCCGGTTCCGCTGGCCGCGCCCCGCCCGCAAAGTGTCGGCACAGTCTTCCAAGGCCTTTGCATCCCTACAGTGGAAACCCATGCCAAGAAGCACCTTGCCTGCCCCCAGGGTGCCCTGGGTTCCTTGGGTGTCGATGGTTGTGCCATGGAGAGCGCGACGCGCCCGCACCGAACGTCAAGGGACGCACTGGGGTCTCAGTTCTGGGTCTCTTGTGGAAGGCTTCTCGTGGTCGGGCCTCTGCTGAAGTGAGGATGGCCAGCCTTCCCAAGGGTACCCCTGCATGCTTGCCTCCTCGGCCCGTCCTTGGCCGCGTTCGCTGGCCGCGCCCCGCTCGCAAAGCCTCGAAACGGCCCTCCGAGGCCCTTGCATCCTCCTCGCGCATCCTTACTATATGCGGGCCGACTATCTGCGGCGGGCGCCGCGCCAGGGGGCCGCTGGCCGCCCCGCATCCCGCGCGCCCCGCCCCACCCCAAAGGTTCAAAGACGACACCATCGGGCGGGCGCTGTGGATCGAGGCCCCGCCCCTCCTCCTCCTCCTCCTCCTCCTCCTCCTCCTCCTCCTCCTCCTCCTCCTCCTCATCATCATCATCATCATCCTCCTCCTCCCTCTTCTCCTCCTCCTCCTCCTCCTCCTCCTCCTCCTCCCTCCTCCCTCCTCCTCCCTCCTCCCTCCTCCCTCCTCCCTCCTCCCCCCTCCCCCCGCGCGAGCCCCTCCGCCCGTCGCCCTCCGCGGGGGGGCCTCCTCGCAGGGCCCGCGGCACCTTCGCGGGCCTCCCAGCTCTTGTCGGCGGCGAGCCGTCCGAGGCCGCGTGGACTGTTCGGTAGCAGACCATATCGGCGACGAAGGAAGGGGGGGTAAGTTTCGGGTTTCGGGTTCGAGAGGTCTTCGGACGTTTTCGTCGGCTCTCGGTGTTTCTCCAGCCTCGGGATGCTTGCCGGCGGCTGCACCTCGCCGAGAGCGTTGGCAGGGTGCCAGGATCGCCCCGAACGGCCGCCAAAGACTTGAGTTATGACCCGGGAACCAAATTTGACGTCGCGCCTAGGGGGCAAGTGAGAAAAAGAAGGCCTTCCCAGAAGGCGGCGGGGCTTCTCAGAGGCCCTCGCGCCATCTGAGAGGTGTTTCGTTCAGCGTCTTCGGGGAAGGCTTAGACATGTTTCAGACGGCTGGGGGGGTCCGAGCCTTCTGAGAAGGCCAGCTCTCTCCCACTTCCCCCCTGGGCGTGCCGCCGACGTATTGCTCGGACGTTTGAATCGCAATCCGCCCGGTGCACTGGATTTGAACAGGTCGCCAAGGTTGTGCATACGTGGCCGATTTAAAAGCATATCGTCCCATTTTACGGTGCGTGTCTGACTCGGAAGCACAAGGGATCATGGCGCAATGTCTCTAGGCCTCCCAGATGGGGTCGGAGTAGATGGGGTCGAAGGATCACGCTGCATCGCCGATGCATCGGCGATGCGGCTCGATGTGGGGAGCGATTTGCTTCGCGTCGATGTCGCCGATGCATCGCCGACGTCGACGATGAATCGCTGGTGCATCGACGGTGCATCGCCGGTGCATCGCCGATGTATCGGCGATGCCGCGCGATCCTCCGACCCCATCTATTCCAACCCGATCTAGGAGGCCTCTAGATAATGGTCCAATGTCGGGCAGCTTCGCACGAGAGAGTGTCCGAGCAGATCGGGTCGTTCGGTCGCGGATCAGCATCGGTCAGCCCCGAGGGCTTGAGCTCGCGGGGCCGACGACAGAGGGGGGACATTTGGGAGGCAATTCGTGGGAGGTCGTCGCGGGGGCGGTCAAGCGCTAGTAAGCCCGATGAAGGGGCCATTGAACGAGGTCCCGTTGGAGTTTTATAGACCTCTTACCATGACACGTCGATCAGTGAATTGGCCATTTTCGGTTCGCGAGAGGGCGTCACAGCCGTTATTTTTGCAGGTCCAGGTCCGTCGGTTCTGGTCCTAGGCCGTTTTCACTAAAGGGTGGTTTACTGAAGGGGGGTTTGTCCACCGCCGAGTCACGCTGGAGTGAGCCACGGACTCAGCCCGCTGAAGCCGGACCGAGCGGGTCTCTCGGGGCCGTCGTTGGGGTCCGAGCAGATTGGAGCCTCGTCAGCGGGGAGCAGTTCATGACATAAGCGTCATCGTCGGGGGGGGCCCGCGCGGAGTTCTAGGATCGGCGCCGTGCCCCCGCCGCAGCGGAAGCAGAGCGTCTGGGCCTCCTCCTCCTCCTCCTCCTCCTTGCTCCTCCTCCTCGCTCCTCCTCCTCGCTCCTCCTCCTCCTCTTCCTCCTCCTCCTCCTCCTCTTCTTCCTCCTCCTCCTGCTCCTCCTCGTCCTCCTCCTCCTCCTCGTCCTCCTCCTCGTCCTCCTCCTCCTCCTCCTCCTCCTCCTCCTCCTCCTCCTCCTCCTCCCTCCGCGCGAGCCGCTCCGCCCTCACCTCCCCCCATCGCCCTGCCTCTGCCCCTCGGCCGCAGGTGGCGCTGCTGGCGCTGGTGGTGGGGTTCTTCCTGGTACCCTCGAGGGCGCGCACGGTCGTGGTGGACTACTCGACGGAGGGGCCTGGGACGCGAAGGGGACAAAACGGCATGGGCAAACGGCAGGTGGAGGCTTTCTCCGAAGGGCTTAGGCGACCCGTCCTCCTCCTCCTCCTCCGCCTCCTCCTCCTCCTCCTCCACCTCCTCCCACCTCCTCCTCCTCCTCCTCCTCCTCCTCCTCCATCCTCATTCCTGCTTCTCCTCTCTCCTCCTCCTCCTCCTCCTCCTCCTCCTCCTCCTCCTCCTCCTCCTCCTCCTCCCTCTCATCCTCCTCCTCCATCTCCATCTCCTCCCCCCACTCCTTCTCATCCTCCTGCTCCTCCTCCTCCTCCTCGTTCTCGGGTCGCCTACGGCACCCAGGGGAAACCGTGCCGCCTGTGATGCCAAGGAGATTAATCGTATGGGCATACAGCAGGCTCGCGTCGTGTCGACGGGCGGCAACCCCGCCGCCAGCGTTGAACGTTAAACGCCGCCAACGACCCAGGATCGGTCGGTATTGGACGATCCGTCGTTTCGAAAATTGCCGATCGTTCAAGAAGGTTGAACGATCCTCGCGGTGTGAGAAACCATCTCCGAAGTCGGCACGAAGCGAACCTGCCGAAGGCATAGCAGAGCGCGAGCGAGACGGTGTTTTGGCGATGTCGTGGGCCGTCGGGCCCCTTCGAGCTTTTTCATTTCTGCGGGTCTCTCTCTCTCTCTCTCTCTCTCCCTCTCTCTGCAGGTGTTCTCTGCGGTCGTCGCCGCTACCGCAGATGTCAGACAGTCGTATCTGCCCCCCCCCCCCTGTCCGCAGCGGCTGGATCCCCCTGGACAAAAACAGTTCTGATTTCATTTTGCGTAGCAGAGGCGGCACGAAGGCAGAATGAGGGATAACGGGGATAACGAAAACATGAAAACGGAACACACACACACACACACTGCTTGCTTTGCGCCCTGGAAAAATGTCATCAAGCATCATCTTTCGGAGCTCCGCGTGGATTTCTCGGATCCACGCTGGGCCCCCCTGGCGGCGCCTCTAGCGCCGCCACTGGCGCGCGGAGCGCGCCAGGGAGGGGTTTTCCCTTGCCGATCCCAGAAACCTGCGCGGACCTCCGAAAGCTGATGTTCATGCCATTGTCCTCTTAGCATGTGTCCTCGGAGTATTGAGCGTGCACTCGTGTGCGCCAGCGTCTGGCAGTCGATTAGAACGCTCCGAATTCTTAGCGCCGACCTAGCGCCAGTGAGCGTCGATTAGTGTCGGTCGCGTTGATGTCGTGCTTGCCTTGGCAGGCTCTCGGCGCCGTGCCGGCGACGCCGGCGCTGGCGCTCAAGGCCGAGCGCAGCTGCCCAGAATCCGCGGACACCGAGCGATCTGCGCTGTTGTCGGAAGGCCGCGATCGCTGGCGGTTGAGCGCTCCACGGCGTCAGAAACCAACGCCGCCATCGTGAGGGCTCAGCGGAGGAAAAGGTCCCCATACCGCCACCTTTCCAGCGGTTTCCCCCTGTCGGGCCTCCTGGGAGGCCCTCGTCGCCACCGCTGGAGTCGCGTCGAGGTTCAGAAAGCAGCGGTATCTCAGGGCCGACCAACGATAGGGGGCGGCATAGGGGGGTATGCATCGGCCCATAATCGCTCGCTGATCGCCGATAGGGGTCCGATAGCCCCACCCCGCCCAGGGAGGTGCGGTTCCGCTCTCACTTGGGGCCTATCGCCGATCTATTGGCGACGGATCGCCGATTCCAGGTCGATGCGTCCCCCCCCCATGCCAGTCCCCCCCCTCACCGCCCACCAAACCCAAACCACCACAACCCAACCCGAAGGCCCCGATTTGCCTTCCATTTCCAGTAGGGGTTGTCGGGGTCGGGGAACATTGGAACACAACACACATGAAGTCCGTTCCCCCCCCACCCCAAATTCGGGTCTTCGGGTGGGGTTGGGGTGGCCTGGTATAGGCAGTCACAGTCCCCCCTACTGTTGCCCCTCAGTATCGGCACCTCCTTGTTTCCCCAGACACGAGCCGCCATATAGCCTGTCGCGGCAGGTGCGGCGCCGCCCTCGTGCCGCCCCTGCCGCGACGCCGGCGCGGGCGCTCAATGGATCAGAGGCAGATGGGGGCGGCAAAGAGGGGGGTGATGACTAGGGTGGGTGGATATCATGGCGGGGGCCATGATATCCCCCCAGTTCTTGTTTCAATACGCACATGCCGCCGGCCATGATTTGCACCCCCCCTCTTGGACGTCCCCCTCTTGGCTAATTATCGAGGGCGCCAAATCTCTGGTACAATCGAGCACCCCTCGCGGCCGGGGGATCGGGGTCGACGCCTCCCCTCTTGGGTTCCCAGAGGCGGCGGTCCATGCCAACGAGGGTCAGCCAGAGCGCCGGATCCTGCAGGATCGTGCGGCGCCTCAGGGAGTGCACTGACCCAGGCTTGGGCGCAGGATGCTGCAGGATCCTGCAGTGCCTGCCTGACCCGGTGTGGATTGACCCGGGTCGGAAGATCCCCGGACGTTCTTCCTCCTCCTCCTCCTCCTCCTCCTCCTCCTCCTCCTCCTCCTCCTCCTCCTCCTCCTCCTCCTCCCCCCTGTTGGGACGTGCCAGCCCGAGTTCCTCGGAGTCTCCAGAGGGAGGGGCGGCCCCCGAGCTGCTGGGCACACGCTCGCAGCGGAGGAGGGCCAGCCGAGGCGGCGGCGGCCTGCCCTGGTGGCGTGTCTCGTCCTCGTGTGAGGGCTCCTGGAGGTTTCTCGTCGCCACGGCCACGGCTGGATCAGCGTCGAGCGATGGGTCATATGTGATTCGGTAGCAAGTCACAGGAGCCTGGTGTGCCCTATTCATGTCGTCTTCGGCGTCGGTGAGCGCCGATCAGCGTTTGGGAGTCGATGAGATAGCGCCGATATAGCGTCGGCTCGCGTCGATTTAGCGTCGATTTAGCGTCGATGAGCGTCGACTGGCGTCGATGAGCGTCGATACGGCGGCGGGACTTCTCAGAAGCCCTCGCCTTCCGAGATGTTTTTGTTTCTGTGTCTTCGGGGAAGGCTCAGAGCCGAGCCTTCTAAGAAGGCCCACTCCCTCCCACTCCCCCCCCCTGGCTGGCCGCCAGCATGGTAGGCCCTGGGAGGGGCCCAGAAAGGCCGATTTCGGGAGCATGTAGGCCTGGCGGGAGAGCTGCTGTTGTCCCCCCTATAGGCCCTCCTCAGGCGTCGGGCGTCTCGGGCGGCCCGGTCACAGGCCTCCAACTCCTCGAGCAGAAGAGCCAGGCGGCGTCTTTTCTGCACGTTCGGCCTCTGGGGGCCGTTTCCTGGAGCCGTTCAGTGCGCTTCTGGACGAAAAAGTTGCCCCGTGGAGGGTGTCGGGCTTTCTGAGGACCCGATCAGTACATCGGAGGTCTGTGCCGTCACAATGAGCAATATTTTAGCGAATGTTCTGAAGCGCATGCCACATGCCTAGGCATTGATGTGGGATCCCCTCCCCGATGCTCTCACAGGAGACCCTCTTTCCCTGTACCTCCTCTCCCAGACTGCGTGCTGGAAGAGGGCGGGTCCGAGCCTTTCTGGTGCCCCTTCTGGGCGTCCGCGGCCAGAAGAGGCATCCATGCCGATGTTCCGTGACGAGCAGGGGCAGCGGCAATCTGGCCTTGAACTCTGCGCTGGTTTAGGTGGTTTGCTGAAGGAGGATGCGGAGGAAGATTCAGGAAAAGGGGAACACAGCGGCGGCGCAAGCGTCAGCCGATATGCCCGTTGTGAGGAGAGGAGAGGAGAGGAGAGGAGAGGAGAGGAGAGGAGAGTAGGATCGGCGCCTCCTGTTGCGTTGTTAGTTGCGCCGAATGGCACGGATGCCAAAGTTTCCATCCAGTGGGGTATGCAGACACATCTTAGCGCGTGCGCGCGTTTGTCTTTGTGAGAGGGAGAGAGGGAGAGAGTGACAGAGAGAGAGAGAGAGAGAAGATGCGTCAAATTCGGGAGGCAGCCTGGCATCCTCTCCGTTCTGTTTGCCCCTGGGAGGGTCAGTTACCAGAAGTGAGCAAGTCGCTAGCTCACAGCCCTCGTGCTTGGCCAAGGCCTACTAGTAGCAGTAGCTCAACAAGCGAAGTGATGAACATTTCGGGGTGCGGCAGCGCTAACCTCCGCATGATTGCCCTCCAGGTGCAAGATCCACAGACGGGAGAGCAGCAAGTCCTCGTGACTGAAGGGTTACAGTGGTGACCTTGACTCCACTGCACTGCGGTGGTCGGTCAGCAGCGACGGTTGGCCAATGTTGGGACCGTGGACGTTCTGATAATGTCTTGACTTGAGGCGGCAGCTGATTTTGAGGTTTGGCCGACGGTGTTGGAGTATATGCGAGACCTGGGGAAGGTCCCCTTAGATGTCGGAAGGGGCGTGGCAATGAGCTCAAGCAGGTCCGCAGATCTTCGCACAGTAAGGCATACAATTGAGGGAACCCGATCCCTTCGGCGATTCCGCAGAAGGGACGCAACATGAATAAAAAGGGTTCAGGGTTCCGCGAGGATCTCTTGAATCGGAGCTGGGGGTGCCCAGCGCAGATCAAAGAAATTCGCGCACGTCGCCTGAAGTTATGGTTATGTTGTGTTGTCTTCCTCCGGTTATGAAGTTACGAGTAGCTTGAATGCATCGTTCACGGTGTTGTGCCATGGCATGAGTGGAATTGTGCATATTTGGCCGTGAGGTGCCCAAGGGGGCAGGGCTGTCTGATGCCGTTGCTCGGCAGCAGTTTGGGGCTCCTGCTTGCGAAGGGGCACCCGTGAGCTTGACTTGATTAAAGCACCGCGCCTCGCCACACGAGGCCAGGGACAGCAGGCAGCTTACCAGTTCGAAACATGTCCCTAACCCTGTGGTTGGCATCACCTCACCTCGATGCCGATCTTAAGGATTCCCCCAGTTTCTGAGAGCACATCCCTGATAGTGTCCTCGCTCTTTGCTAGCCCATCTTGGGGATAGGGAGAAGTTCGAGGATGGGTAGCAGCGGCGAAGTCTTGCTCGCTGCGTTGAGGCATCGGGGTGGAGCTCGGCGCGGAGCAGGAGGAGGAGGCGGAGGCGGAGACGGAGGCGGACTCGGAGGAGGAGGCGGAGGCGGAGGAGGAGGAGGAGGGACGGCCGTCGGGTCGACCGGCAGGGCCGAGGGAGCCGCCGCGGTGGCGAGAGGCGGCGCGCGCGGAAGCGGGCAGGTGTACGTGTTGGAGCCCCTCCGCGCGAGGGTTGCCTTTCTAGGCGCGCCTGCTCCGTGCGCTGCAGGTCGGGCCTGTCCCTCCTCCGGGGGGATCTCCAAAGACAGTTGAGAATAGTCTGGGGGCCATTTTTTGCATGTGTCGGGGGAGCGTAAGACCCGGGTTTGCCAGGACTCGGGTTCTCCATCGTTTTTTGACGACCGCGCCTCGGATTTTGACGAGGAGGAGTTTCGTGGGATGTTTGCAGCGGGAGGCCTCGTCAAAATGCAGGCTCGGCCTCGTCATTTTTTTGACGACCTCGTCGGGGATTTCCGAGTCCCCCGTACCCGGGTCTTACGTCTCCCCGAATATGGTTGACCGTCTTGGTGCATTTGTTGACTATCTAGATTTGTCGTCAAGAATCCCCCTGTAGTGGAACGTGCCCGACCTAAGCGTGCGCCTGTGTGGGGACTGCTCTTATGTACTCCGCCCGAAGAGCTTGTGTACTGTACCAACAAAATCTGGGAGGGCGGGGGGGGCAGGGTCCTGGCCGTGGGGTTGGTATGCAGAATTCCCTCTCTGGGGCATGGTTGTTGGATACTGGACGTGGCCCCTCGGGGTGGAATCTGACTGGGGTTGGGGAGGGTGCGGTATACAAGACATAGTTCAGGATGTATCCTCTCGCGGTCACGGCCGTTACCAGGTGGATAGGGCGGGAGAGGAGGCCCCTAACGTCGCGATCCGCGCTGGTGCCGTCTGGGAATTAGCTACCCCCAGCAATTCCCAGACGGCACCGGCGCGCCAGAACAAGGTGCCATCGCGAATCATGAGAATTCCTCACTTTTTGCGTATCCCCACCATCCAATGCAAAAACCTTTCCCATGAGAGTTGACGGGAAAAAAGACGAAGAGACACATGCAGTGGAACAAAACGGGTAAGCAGGGTGAACCGATAGATCTCTCGGAGCAAGGGGGTGGCTTTGGAGGGCCTCTTCGGGTCATCCCCTGGGACCCGCGTTGGGGCGAGGGAACGAAGAGGAGGAGGCGGAGGAGAATGAGGAGGTGGAGGAGGAGGGAGATGAGGACGACCACGACGACGAGGAAGAGGAAAAGTAAAGGGAAGACGATGAGGGCAAGGACGAGGACGAGGACGAAAAGTAGGTGAAAGAAGAGGTAGGATATCGAGGACGAGGACAAAGACCTCAAAGTCGCCTCTTGGAACCCTCTTGGGACTCTTTTTGGGGGATCTTGGGGTCCCCTTAGGGGCTCTTTTGGGGGTTCTTTGGACCTTCTTGGGGCCTTCTTGGAGCCCTCAGAGGGGTCCCTTGGAAGCCCTAGAGGGCCTCCCGGGCCGCCCTTGGGCGCTCTTGAGGCCGTCTGGGGGGTTTTGTTGGGCTCCTCTTTGGCCTCTCTTGGGCCATCTTGGGACTAGAGGCATCGGAAGCGAACGGCGAGAAGGCAAACATCGTGCATGTTCCGTTGGGTTGTGAAGGAACTTTCCCTCTTGGGGCCTCCTGAGGGGGCTCCGAGAGCACTTGGAACCGCCTTGTGGCCCTCGTCGGGCCTCTTGGAGGTATCTCGGAAGCTATGTTGAACCATGTTCGGCTATTTTGAGCTGCCTTTGAGGCCGTTTTGGAGCATCAGAGGCCCTCTTGGAGCCATCAGGGATCATCTTGTACGCTCTAACCCCTCCGTCACCCCCCCGTCCAGACCCGGGGAGTGGGGGGGGTAAACTTGCCGGAAGGGAAGAGTTTTTTTTGTCGGAAGAGGGAAGACAGATATTTTGTAACCACCGTAGCCCGAAAGGTTGGTAGCCTTCATACATTTGCTCGCAGCCGTCCTCCATGATGCCTGTATCTCTCCCCTTCTCTCTCGCTCTGTTTTTGTTGTTGCTTTTCTCTCTCTCTCTCTCTCTATATATATATATCCACATCACTCGGGTACCAACCTGCTCCCCTCGAGCAAGAGGGCTGGAAGCAGTCAGGTAGTTCCAGCGTCGGGCCTCCCAGCTCTGGTTGTCCGTGGGCGTTGCATGACAAGAAAGAAGTTTGAAATCGATCGGCGCTGCATTCGCGAATCTGCTCAGTCGCGCTGCCCACATGAACAGTGTTGCTGCTCGAGTTCGATCCAGGGGCCGGCTTTAGAGAGGTGTGCGAGGAGACTTGCTACTGCATGCGCTTTTTCACGCGAAGTCCAGAAATGCAGAAGATTAGGTGAGCGACCCGCGTTGCGGGCAGGTGCACGCAGAAAAGGTCAAACCAGGTTACACGAAAACAAGGATTGTCAGGGGGAGTACGGGCAGGGGGAGGGAGGGGGGACGGGGCAAGAATGGATATTCACGCGCGTTTGTTGGCATCTGCATCGGGTAAGGCTTGCCTATGAAATGTGCGTTCGGCTTGCATTTATATTTGACCCTTTCCATCATGTTTTGTTATTGTAGTGGCCTCCGGCCAGTGCCGCCGATCCGGGGCGCTCCGGATGATGATGATGATGATGATGATGATGATGATGATGATGATGATGATGATGATGAGGATGAGGATGAGGATGAGGATGAGGTTGATGATGATGATGATGATGATAATGATGATGAAGATGTTGCTGATGATGATGATGATGATGATGATGATGATGATGATGATGATGATGATGATGATGATGATGATGATGGTGATGGTGATGATGGTGATGGTGATGGTGATGGTGATGGTGATGGTGATGGTGGTGGTGGTGATGGTGATGATGATGATGATGATGATGATGATGATGATGATGATGATGATGATGATGATGATGGTGATGTGACGATGGTGATGGTGATGGTGATGGAGATGGTGATGATTCAGGCCCCCCCTCCTCTCTCCTGTCCCCCCCCTCTCTCCTGTCCCCCCCCTCTCTCCTGCCCCCCCCCCCGCCCCCCTCTCTCCTGTCCCCCCCCCACCCTCTGTCCTGTCCCCCCCCATCTCCCCCCCCCCTCTCTCCTGTTCTCCCCACCCCTTCTCTCCTGTCCCGCCCCCCCCCGCCCCTCTCTCCTGTCCCCCCCCCTCCCCCTTGCAATTCCCATCTGCAAAGCGGACCCTCCCGCCTTTCCCTGCAGCTCCCGCTCCCGCCTGAGAGGGCCCCCCTCCCCTTTCCAGCCCCCCCCCCCGAGCAGAGCGCCCCCCCCCCCCTCCCCTCTCCTGCCCTCACCCTTGCAGAGCAAGAAAACTCCGGGGGGGCCGAAATCGAGGGGGGGGGAATGCTGGCAGGGGGGGGGGGGGAGGTACCGAGCACTGAATTCGATAGTTAATGAGGTCCCCCCCCCTCCCCCCCTCCCAAGCAAAGCTAAATCTCATGCTGAAGCAGAGCTTCAACTTAGACTTCTTAAACTCACACGCCGGATCGGCAGATTTCCCTCTTTTTGTTGATTCTAATTTTATGTGTTCTCTCTCTCTCTCTCTTTCTCTTTCTTTCTCTCTCTCTCTCTCTTTCTCTCTCTCTCTGTCTCTCTCATTTGTCTCCATCTCTCTCTCTCTCTCTCTTTCTCTTTCCCTTACCCCCTCTGACCTCTGGAGGATGGACTTGTTCAGAGTCATGGGTCCCAGAACTCTGCTCTCGACCCCTCCCCCTGGTGCCAGATCCTTGTCCCTGGTAGTGTTCTCTAGGTCTCGGGGGCTCAAAAAAGCGGCCCCCAGGGGCCGAAGCAGCTGAAAACAAGCCCTGATCGTGATGTTTTTTATTCATTGTGTTGCCGATCGGCTCGGGCCCTCGCACCTCCCCCCTCCCCCCCATTGGAGTAGATCTTGGCTGGTTTTGGCGCCTGTTTCGGGCAGGTGGAGCCTCCTCCATCGGACGCGCTGCCGCAAACATCGCATTCAGCAGAGGTCCGGAGCCAGACCTCCCCCCCCTCCCCCCCCTTCTGCCCAATGTCGAAGCGCCAAAGAAGAAGACGCTCACACTGAGCCTGGCAAGCCGCCGAAGGTGTCTCCTAGCCTCTGGATGTGCTCCAGAGCTGCCGATGCCTCAGGGCCTTCGGAGGAGTCTCACAGCGGGCCAAATCATCGATCACGCATGTGGCAAACACGCCGCGCGTTCACACACACACACACACACACACACACACACTGTGGGCGTCGTGGCCACGCGCGCAGCGGCGCAGCGCAGTCTGGCTGAGACCGACGGAGGTTCGCGGTCCGGGCCAGCGCATGCAGCAGGGGCATGCCAGACCCACACCCGTCGGGGGCCGCGCAGAAGGGCTCGCGGGGAGGCAGCCGCGAGGGTTAAATCGGGCGTGTCCCCCTACAGAAGGATTTTGGGCCAAAAAATGAAGCATATTCAACAAATATCCAAAACATGCGCAAAGATAATACAAAAATCGTCTCCACATTATTTCTTTACTATTTTTGAATATCCCTCCTGTAGAGGGACAGGTCCGACTTCACGCGAGGGGGTGACGACAGGGGGAAGGGAGCGGGCCGGGGGAAGGCGCTGCGAGGGAGGCAGGGTGAGTCGACAGGGCGCGTGCCGAGCGCACACGCACGCACACGCGCTTCCTGCCTCTCCCGGCCGGTTGAGCCAACGCAGCGAGTGAAAAGAAGGCGGGGCACGCCTATGGGTTGGTTGGCAGCCCGAGCGTCTGCCGGCGGGCAGTCAGGACGCCAGGGACGCAGCGGGCGCGTGCAGGACAAGAGGGGGCCGGAGCCCACGCGCGTGAAGAGTGCCTCAGCTTTGCTCGCGCGCGCACTATACCCAGACATGATCGCGTCGTGAAAGAAGCAGGACGGGGGGGTGGGATATTTTCGGCCTCGGGAGGCCCTCGCCGGGCCTCGGGACAGTCAAACAATGATTCGGGACGAAGAACCGGTCTCAGGGAAAGGGTCGGGACATCCAGGGACGCCGTCCTGAAAAGATCAGGACGTCGCGTGCCTGGGTACGGTTCCCCTGGCGAGGTCCTCGTCCGCGCTCCTCGCTTGCCCCCCCCCCCTCCCCGCTCCCGGCGCGCAGATATCCGCCTGCCGGGGCCGCTTGGCAGCGCCGCGTTCCGCGCCGCGGCAGCCAACGTCCTCGTCGTCACGGCGCCACCCCGCCGGGGCGTTGGCTCGTGCTTGCTGACCGGAAGCCCCGACTTAGCTCCGTGCCCAAACTTCCGCCGGATGTTGTTTCGTCCCAGCGCTCCATTGACTGGCCCCCCCGTCCCTCGCCTGGCCTGGGTGGCCCACCAGTGTTGCCAAGCTTGGGGGGAAGCTCAGGGGCAGCGTTGGCGTGGGATGGGCTCGAGGGGGGGAGTGCATCGGGGAGGAGGCTCTTGGGGAAGATTGCCGGAGACTGCTTTCGGAAGTTTTCGGGGCCCAGGCTGGTTTCGATCAGCTGCGCCTCGTCGAGAGCGTTCCGGGGGTGGCCGACTGGTCCCGCACGGCCGCCGGAGAGTCGGGGGAGGACCCAGAAGCCACAGGGCAACGCACGGGGGGGATCGGCTCGCGGGGGAATGCATCGACCGACCCCAGATCGTCCTGTCATCGTCGGCATATGCCCGATTGCCCACCCCGCCCAGGAGCGTGCGGATTTGCCATCGGGGGCATGTCGCCGATCTTTCGGCGACGTATCGCCGATTCCAGACCGATGTCCCCCCTCCCCCCTAAGCCAGTTTCCCCCTTCAGATTCGCTTTCGATGGAGTTGATGATACGTTCTAAGATTACCAAGGGTTCCAGGATTCCCCTCGCTTCGTCCTGGGGTCTCAGGGTTGGGTTTCTTATGTGGACCTACTGTACACGCGCCTTCTACATCTCTGGGCTCCCAGATCCTAATATACCTCAATTTCCTTCCTACTTCAAGAGTCGCTATGCGTTTGCTGCGTGTTGTGTGTTTTTTCTCTGGGAGTGCCTGAGCCCGATATAATTTGCCCGCTTTCCTACTTCATGGTTTGGTCTGCCTCTTCCGACCGACGTGCATCGGCGGAGGACAGCTCGCGCAGATACAGCCCTTTCCCCCCCCTACAGTGAACGGCTTGAAAAAGGAACATTTAACTTTTCAACAGGGGCTCGGTCATTCCTTAGTTTTGCATGCGTTATGTATCGTTCCTTATTTATGCGTTATCTATTGCATATCGTTCGTTATGCGTTATTTCTTTGGAGAAAAAAGGCTTGGTTTCTTCTTTATCGTTCCTTAGGTCAGGCCGATGACTGTACCCCTTCCATCGGGACACGGTCAGAACGGGTACGGAAAGAGAGCAGGCACCAAGGCCGACGATCGCATTGTTCCTGTTCCTCTCGAGCAGGATGTGCGCCGTCCGTGCCGCAGCGGGCGCTGGCCATCTGAGGCAGCAGGCTGCCTGCCCAACAGCGACCGCTGCCGGCTATGGACAAGATTTGTTGGGCATGATACTTGTTTTCCCGTGCCCAGTTGTGATCGGTTTTTTATTTATTGTTCTGCCGATCGGCGCGGTCCCTCGCACAACCCCCTCTCCCCCATCCCCATATGGAGTCGATCTTGGCTGTTTCTGGCGCCTGTTTCGTACGGGTGGAGTCTTTCCCCAATAATGGACGCATTGCTGCAAATAGTCGCACTAAGCAGAGGTCCGAAGACAGACCCCTCTCCCTCCCCTTACGCCAAATGCCGAAATGCCGAATAAGAAGACGTCCACCTGCCCAACAGCGGCCTCTCCCGGTTTTGGACAAGTTTTGTTGTTGGGCATCGTGCCCAGTTTTCCAGTACCCATTCCGGGTGTCCAAATCCCAGGAGGGTTTGGTAACCATCAGAGGACGGGGGGGCGGGGAAGGACGGATTGGGTCACCTGCGGGGCGCGAGCGAAGTTTTTCGCGCATCGCGCGTCGTGGTCTGGGCCAGAGCCGTTGCCCTTCCCTCCAGGTCGGTTGCGCGAGGGTGCGACGATGAGCGCGCATCGCGGGGCGCCATGCGCGGACTGGGTGATCTCATGTGGTGGAGGGAGGAGCTGGGTCTGTACACACTATGAGATCCGACGTCGCGACACAAGAACATACGTCGTGGGAAATCACGAACTGAGCCCAGGACCCCATCTCTCTGTGGCGTTTCTCGAGCGGGATCGATGTGCGAGGTCATCGCACAAATGTGCTACATACCATTTTTTGCGTGTTCCTTCGTGTGAGCTCCAACGGATCCCACATTTCCTGGCGTTCTGGGGGATTTCGTCCAGAGCTCATCAGATGTCGTCGACATTTGGGCAACATCTGGACGGACGGGTGAAGAGGGATGGTCGAAGTCTGGACAAGTTCCGGTCGAAATCACGTTTATGATAAGGCAGCGGAGGTCCACAGAGGCTCCCACGAAGGCTCACAGAACCCTTGCCGGGCGTGCCCAAGAGGTCGGCGTTCCCCAAACATACTGAAATTGCGTGTGTGCGTGTGTGTGTGTGTGTGCGTGTGCGCGTGTGCGCGTGTGCGCGTGTGCGCGTGTGCGCGTGTGCGCGTGTGCGCGTGTGCGCGTGCGCGTGTGCGTGTGGGTGTGTGTGTGTGTGCGTGCGTGCGTGCGTGCGTGCGTGCGTGCGTGCGTGCGTGCGTGCGTGCGTGCGTGCGTGCGTGCGTGCGTGTGTGTGCGTGTGTGCGTGTGTGTGCGTGTGTGTGCGTGTGTGTGCGTGTGTGTGCGTGTGTGCGTGTGTGTGTGCGTGTGTGTGCGTGTTGTGCGTGTGTGCGTGTGTGCGTGTTGTGCGTGTGGCGTGTGTGCGTGTGTGCGTGTGTGTTGTGTGTGCGTGTGTGTGTGTGCGTCTGTGTGTGTGCGTGTGTGTGTGTGTGTGTGCGGGTGTGTGTGCGTGTGTGTGCGTGTGTGCGTGTGTGTGTATGCGTGTGTGTGTGTGGCGCGTGTGTGTGTGCGTGTGTGTGTGTGCGTGTGTGTGTGTGCGTGTGTGTGTGCGTGTGTGTTGTGTGTTGTGTGTGTGTGTGTTGTGTGTTGTGTGTTGTGTGTTGTGTGTGTGCGTGCGTGCGTGTTGTGTGTGTGTTGTGTGCGTGTTGTGTGTGTGTGTGCGTGTGTGTGTGTGTGTGGTGTGTGTGCGTGTGTGTGTGCGTGTGTGTGCGTGTGTCGTGTGTGCGTGTGTGCGTTGTGTGTGTGCGTGCGTGTGTGTGTGTGTGTGCGTGTGTGTGTGTGTGTGTGCGTGTGTGTGTGTGTGCGTGTGTGTGTGTGTGCGTCTGTGTGTGTGTGCGTGTGTGTATGTGTTTGTGTGTGTGCGTGTGCGTGTGTGTGTGTGTGTGTGTGTGTCTGTGTGTGTGCGTGTGTGTGTGTGTGCGTGTGTGTGTGTGTGCGTTTGTGTGTGTGTGTGCGTGTGTGTGTGTGTGTGTTTGTGTGTGTGTTCGTTTCGCCTCCCAAGGGGCGGCTCGTGCGCCGAGACATCGTGTGGTACATGCTCGGCGACGGGCGTTTTCTGGCCATACCACGGGGGTAACGATCTACTACAAGGTGTTGTGCTATGTGCTCGGGTCGGAGGAACGCCTCCAGGTTGGGCACACAGTCCTGTGATCGGCTCGGCGTGCAACAGTTGCAACGCTTGCTAGGTATTTGCAACCCACTTGCAAGGCGCCTGCAAGTGTGCTGCAAGCCGCCACAACTGCTCAAGGTCTGAGCAAGTCGCGGACCCAACTCGGAGCAGCTAGGTGGACCTGCGACCCACTCGCAAGTGGGATGCAGCCACCTGAGCGACGCAAGAAAAGGGGGTCGTTTGCGCCGACGTTCGTGCTTAAGTTGCCCGCGTCAGGTCGCGCGCCAGCGCCCTCGCCTCCAATGATGCGTGCCGCGCCGTCGGCCCGCGTAAGCTGCGGCGTCGTAAGGTCGCCGTGCCATCTCGCGCAAGACCCGTGTTTGATCGTCGCCCACCCTGCAGTTGCTGCAAGGCCACAGCCAGCATTGCAGCAGTAGCAGGTCACTCTGTGTCCCGAGAGTCAAGGGAGGAAAAGCCACTCAGACCCCGACAATTGTTGCGGGGGGTGGATGCTCTGCCCTCCGAAGAGGTGCTGCTCGCGCTCACCTGGACCAGCCTCAAGAGCTAGAGGCGGCCGCGCGCCGCGCCGCCCGCCATCCTCAGGAGGGTAAAAACACAGACACAATTAATCGTCGATTCCCATGGAAATATACGAAGATAGGGGAGTGGGGGGGAAGACGAAAACCAAAAAAATCATTGACAAATATTGGAAATCCTGTTATTTGTGTCTATTTATTTGTGTTTCCCTGGGCCCCTTAACATCCTCTGCCGGGAGTGCGCCGCCGCAGAGGTGCGCCGCGCCGCCCGCCTTGGGGGGGAGGGCGGCTGGGCCGCCAGCGCCCACCCGGGGTCCCCCGAGCGCCGGGCGCGATGCAGTAGCACAGTCGACTAGCATATTATGAAGTCGGGCCTGTCTCTCTGCAGGGGGAATATTCAAAAATAGTCCAAAAATAGTCTGGGGACGATTTTTTGCGGTGTTTTGTTTGTTTGTTGTTCTTTTGTATGCATGTTTTGACTATTTTTCATTTTTCGCCCAAAATCCCCCTGTAGGGGGGCAGGCCCGACCTAAGGGTACCCTTTGCATCCTTGCCTCCTCGGTCCATCCTCGGCCACGTTCGTCGGCCGCCCCGCTCGCAGAGCGTCGGGGTGGCCTTTCCGAGGCCCTTGCGTCCCTATCGAGCGTGTCCTTGTGATACGGGGCGGCTGCCGGGTCCCCCGAGCGCCTTGCGCGCCTGTGGTTGGATCCCCATCGCGAGGCCCCCGGGAGTGCCGCGCACCAACGGTAGGTCGTTCTCTTGCCCAGGGCCGCTCATGTCGGGCCGAACGAAAGGGGGGTATGGGGAAAGGGGGGCGGGGGACGAAATCTGCTGCGTACAGCTGGTTTCGGCTCCGCCGCCAGGCCCATTCCGGATACATGGGCGCCGGGAAGTGTACATAACCAAATCATTTGGTTACGTTCGAAAGGGTTGCCCGTGACCAAAACGCGAAGAATATGGTTACGAGCGACCCCTCACACATTTGAGCTATCAAAATGCATTAAACACTCCCGTAACCAAAATCGTTCCGGAACGATGCTCGCATAACCAAATCGTAACCATATATTCAATTGTTGTAACCAAATCATAACCCAATTACAGAATTCGTAACCATATCGTAACCAAATCATAACCAAACCGTAAGTATATCGAAATGACCATGTTCGACATTGCCGATGGGGCTGAAGAAGGGGGCGAGCGAAGCAGGAGGGAGTCTGCCCAAGCTGGTACACTGTGGTTTCCATCATGCTGGCTAAAGGCCTCAAGAACAGCCCCAAGTGTTGGCTTAGCGTGGCCACGGAGCCTCCAAAATACGCCCCTGACGTTGCGAAATCAATGGAAATGCAGTGTGCCTTTCAGGCAAATGTTCGCTGTATCGCATAATTACTCGCCCCCGATGGGCTTTTGATGCCCAAAGATGTTGCAAGAGATGGCTGGACGTCCCCGCCCCCGAACAAATAATGAGAAACACGCATGAATAAGGAGAGGGAGTCCTCCTCCTCCTCCTCCCTCGTCCTCCCCCTCCTCCGTGCCCCAGAAGGAGCTCCACCTATGGCCCCACTGGGTGCTTCCGCATGGCGCCGTCATCCCCATTTCAACATACACCTCACAGTGATCACGCACCGTTCGGAGGTCGACCTATGCCCCCAGCGGGTGCGTCCGCATGGAGCCGTCGCCGTGTCGGCATTCCCCTCTCGAGGATCATGCTTCATAGGGAGCTCTACCTATGGCACCAACAGGTGCGTCCGCATGGTGCCGCAGTCCTCATTTCGGCATACTCCTCATGAGGATCGTGCCTCATGGGGAACTCCAACTATGGCCCCAGCGGGTGTGTCCGGATGGCGCCGCCGTCCCCGTGTCGGCACACTTTTCATTAAGGATCGCGCCCCTCGTGGGTCTCAGGGCGTTCCACTTGGAATTATTCCGCATATACGCTTTCCCCGCCAATTGCGTCACAACCCTCACGCGAGGCGTGGAACCCTCACCTGGCCCACTGGTTGTGCTGGCATGGCGTCCCTGCCCATTTCGGCACACCCCTCACGCGGAGCGTGCCCGTCGGGGAATTCCACCAATGGGCTGAATGGAGGTGCTCGCGCGGCGATGCCGCCCCCATTTCGGCACACCCCTTACGTGGATCGTCTCCTCTGGGACCTCCACTTCTTGCCCTGTTGGGCGTGACCACATGTGCTCCCCGTCGATTGCAGCATTTTCCTCAAGTATCATGCCCCGCAGGGAGTTCGGCGCCCTCCTGCCCACCTCTTCGGCAGTTCCCGATCCTGACTGCCCTGCGGCGCGCATCGTAAAAAGAACATGCCGTGCTCCACGCCACATGCAGCTGCATCGGGTCTGGCACTTCGCAACGCTAACTATTCAGCTGCCTACGGCAAGTCCCGCCACCGCATCTGGGTTGTGGGTTTTAGGCCTCTTGGATGTTCGCTGGGATATCGTGGGAGGCCTCTCTTGGGCCTGTTGGATGCAGTTTGCAGGCCTCTTGGGAGCCGTCTGGGGGCCTCTTCAGGGGGCTTCAGTTTGGCCTCTTGGGGGGGCCTCTTGGGGGTCTCTTGGGGGCTTCCTAGGGGCACCTTTGGGCCTCCTGGGGTACTGCAGGGGCTTTGCAGGGTATGGTCTTTGCATGGTCTTTGCATGGTGGACTTTGCAGGGTCTTTGCAGGGTCTCTGCAAGGGGGGCGGTGCAGTCCCCGGTCCGCGTCCCGCGGAGGGGGCAGGCCCGACCTAAGGGTACCCTTTGCATCCTTGCCTCCTCGGTCCATCCTCGGCCACGTTCGTCGGCCGCCCCGCTCGCAGAGCGTCGGGGTGGCCTTTCCGAGGCCCTTGCGTCCCTATCGAGCGTGTCCTTGTGATACGGGGCGGCTGCCGGGTCCCCCGAGCGCCTTGCGCGCCTGTGGTTGGATCCCCATCGCGAGGCCCCCGGGAGTGCCGCGCACCAACGGTAGGTCGTTCTCTTGCCCAGGGCCGCTCATGTCGGGCCGAACGAAAGGGGGGTATGGGGAAAGGGGGGCGGGGGACGAAATCTGCTGCGTACAGCTGGTTTCGGCTCCGCCGCCGGGCCCGTTCCGGATACATGGGCGCCGGGAAGTGTACATAACCAAATCATTTGGTTACGTTCGAAAGGGTTGCCCGTGACCAAAACGCGAAGAATATGGTTACGAGCGACCCCTCACACATTTGAGCTATCAAAATGCATTGAACACTCCCGTAACCAAAATCGTTCCGGAACGATGCTCGCATAACCAAATCGTAACCATATATTCAATTGTTGTAACCAAATCATAACCCAATTACAGAATTCGTAACCATATCGTAACCAAATCATAACCAAACCGTAAGTATATCGAAATGACCATGTTCGACATTGCCGATGGGGCTGAAGAAGGGGGCGAGCGAAGCAGGAGGGAGTCTGCCCAAGCTGGTACACTGTGGTTTCCATCATGCTGGCTAAAGGCCTCAAGAACAGCCCCAAGTGTTGGCTTAGCGTGGCCACGGAGCCTCCAAAATACGCCCCTGACGTTGCGAAATCAATGGAAATGCAGTGTGCCTTTCAGGCAAATGTTCGCTGTATCGCATAATTACTCGCCCCCGATGGGCTTTTGATGCCCAAAGATGTTGCAAGAGATGGCTGGACGTCCCCGCCCCCGAACAAATAATGAGAAACACGCATGAATAAGGAGAGGGAGTCCTCCTCCTCCTCCTCCCTCGTCCTCCCCCTCCTCCGTGCCCCAGAAGGAGCTCCACCTATGGCCCCACTGGGTGCTTCCGCATGGCGCCGTCATCCCCATTTCAACATACACCTCACAGTGATCACGCACCGTTCGGAGGTCGACCTATGCCCCCAGCGGGTGCGTCCGCATGGAGCCGTCGCCGTGTCGGCATTCCCCTCTCGAGGATCATGCCTCATAGGGAGCTCTACCTATGGCACCAACAGGTGCGTCCGCATGGTGCCGCAGTCCTCATTTCGGCATACTCCTCATGAGGATCGTGCCTCATGGGGAACTCCAACTATGGCCCCAGCGGGTGTGTCCGGATGGCGCCGCCGTCCCCGTGTCGGCACACTTTTCATTAAGGATCGCGCCCCTCGTGGGTCTCAGGGCGTTCCACTTGGAATTATTCCGCATATACGCTTTCCCCGCCAATTGCGTCACAACCCTCACGCGAGGCGTGGAACCCTCACCTGGCCCACTGGTTGTGCTGGCATGGCGTCCCTGCCCATTTCGGCACACCCCTCACGCGGAGCGTGCCCGTCGGGGAATTCCACCAATGGGCTGAATGGAGGTGCTCGCGCGGCGATGCCGCCCCCATTTCGGCACACCCCTTACGTGGATCGTCTCCTCTGGGACCTCCACTTCTTGCCCTGTTGGGCGTGACCACATGTGCTCCCCGTCGATTGCAACATTTTCCTCAAGTATCATGCCCCGCAGGGAGTTCGGCGCCCTCCTGCCCACCTCTTCGGCAGTTCCCGATCCTGACTGCCCTGCGGCGCGCATCGTAAAAAGAACATGCCGTGCTCCACGCCACATGCAGCTGCATCGGGTCTGGCACTTCGCAACGCTAACTATTCAGCTGCCTACGGCAAGTCCCGCCACCGCATCTGGGTTGTGGTTTTAGGCCTCTTGGATGTTCGCTGGGATATCGTGGGAGGCCTCTCTTGGGCCTGTTGGATGCAGTTTGCAGGCCTCTTGGGAGCCGTCTGGGGGCCTCTTCAGGGGGCTTCAGTTTGGCCTCTTGGGGGGGCCTCTTGGGGGTCTCTTGGGGGCTTCCTAGGGGCACCTTTGGGCCTCCTGGGGTACTGCAGGGGCTTTGCAGGGTATGGTCTTTGCATGGTCTTTGCATGGTGGCCTTTGCAGGGTCTCTGCAAGGGGGGCGGTGCAGTCGCCGGTCCGCGTCCCGCGGAGGGGGCAGGCCCGACCTAAGGGTACCCTTTGCATCCTTGCCTCCTCGGTCCATCCTCGGCCACGTTCGTCGGCCGCCCCGCTCGCAGAGCGTCGGGGTGGCCTTTCCGAGGCCCTTGCGTCCCT